AGCTCTTTTTAAGCTTGCGGAAGCTGAACATTATCACAAGTACGTTCTACAGATTAAAATTCAAGTTTGTTTTGTCAATATTTTTAAATTCTACCTTTTTTTATAACATCAAGTGACGGAACGAACAAGTCATGCGCCTGATGGTAAGCTACACACCTGTCTATAATAGTAACAGTGCCACTCCGAGCTCTAAATTGCAAAGATCTGAGGAGCTCTACCATTGCGCCCGTCACCCTGAGACATAAGTTGACAAGTCCCATGTGCTTGTAATTTCATCAGCACCATTACCCTTCAAAACTGGAACACAGTAATGCTGAAATTACTGCTTGGCGTAGAAATAGGTAAGGCAGTGCTACCCCGAACGAACTCTTTCACAAAGAGCTCTACTGCTACTAAAAAACTTGCACGTTGTATCAGCGATACTAATATTATTTGATTTGGATAAATAATAATAATAAATCTGTAATACGGACAACAGTGATCCATGAAGTGTTAGTGACAATAAACATGTAATTAGGTTAGTACTTAAATTGTACTACGGATTTTGTGCTTATTATTAAATACTGCATCATGAGATACTCACTCCTAGCCGCGATAATTTTCAGGAGACCGTTGCTGCTGCCACATATTCTGTTTAATAAAGACGCTGACTTTTCCGTACGAGTGCCATGAAGCTGTCGACGCGAGCTTTAGCAAACATGGCAGACGCAATGCAGAACCGCAAACAATTTTTTTTTTTAGTTCAGTCCATTTCTTTCGTTGCGTAAGAAAATGATGTAAGATTATGTCAAGCTACGCCCATAGGTTATGATATAGTTTTAAGTAGAATGCATTAAGTAGTGTGATAGCTGTTAACTAAAATTCAATCTTCTGGATTTTTTAACCGACTTCATAAACAGGAGTCTTTGGAACTTCGTTAAACTTTAGAACCCACTTCCCGTTAACTGTACATGACTAATCCTTAAGAATAAATCCTTAGCTATATTTAAAACGAGAGTCAAGGAGCACTATTTATCCTCTGTGCCATCCATTTTATAGACATTATAATATGAAATAAGTATTTAGCTAACTATTTATATAGTCCGTAGTAATTTAAATATTTGCTATTTATTTTTATTATTATCTTATTACATAATTTAATTTTGTTTTGTTGTGCACGTAAACCTGTTATTGTAATTATTGTGTCCTGTATTTTGGTCTGCAGGAAGAAATTTCTTATAGAAATAAGCAGTACCTTGTGTTTGTGCTTTCCGTTTTACCAAATGTGATCTGTGGTTTTTCTGTACAATAAATAATTTGGGTAAAAACGGGGTAGATGGCCCTAGTTTTATTCTAAACGCTGTCAAAATAAAATTTTAGATATTACATTGCAAACCTTTATTTCTTATTGAACTTTGAACAATTAACTATTAATTATTTAACAGAAAAAAGAACAAATTGTCTTGAAACCAACCAAAAAAGTTAGTTTAAAAAAAATTACGATTAGCTCTCTTCCGAGGTGTCCGAGTGTGATGACCATAGGACTATGGATAAGATGGCCAGTTATTATTTCTAGACTTAGAACGGTCTTTTACTTGGTGTTTTTAAGTCTTCTTGAGGCGGGTTCCATAGCAGCAGCAGCTTTAATAGCTGTGAGTTCTTAGGTTTTCGCGATTGTTACACTTAGGAACTGAAACTATTTTTCCGGATTTAAATCGCGTATATTTGTTTTTCAAACAAACCAAAGTTTCGGGCCATTTACAATTATTGGGACATTTCCTAAGCATTAATAGCTGATTTTAATGATTCTTCAGTAAAATTCCCTCTTATTGCGGCTACCTTTCTTTTGTATTTAGTACCTATGCATCTAAAACAAATTCGAAAATAAATAAATAATTTTATTAATATTTTAGACCTTTGTGTGATCGGTATAAGTAGGTCACATGGCCATCTGTCCTAATATTCCGGGAGAGGTGGCCACACATAACAATTAAACAAGAAAACTTTTAACGAAGCATTGGATGTGGACTAAGCGATAAATACAAAAATAATTCACATTTTGAAAAAATAACTTCATTGTAGTGTACAACATGAACCCTTTAAAAAATTTTAGCATTAGTCAAAACAATTAGTAAGGTTTACTAACTTTTTCTTTTCATTTTTTTGTTGCTCATTATATTCGCCGTACACTTGCACTTAGACACAATACGATGCGAATTGAGCAATAACTATCGCCATCTCGTTAGCGGATCATTGATATATTACGATTGGGCATCTGCCCCCTATGGCCATCTAACCCGGTTTTACCCTTAATAAATAAATAAATAAATATTCGCGCAGTTTCCGGTAACCGATTTCAATAAAACTTCGCAAAATAGATCTTATTCCACCTACTTTTGTAGCCGGTTTTTTTAGTAGGTACTCTGTACTGTGATATCATTAATAGCGAGTGAGAATTTAAATTAAATCTTGTTTCCGTTAGCTTGCATCGACGCCTACGGTGTAATTATGAAATCATTGCCATAGAACTAAATAATCACCTTGTTACTACTACTGCATTAATTATAAACACAATATAGTTTGATTACACAAACCGATGAATTTTTATTGTCTCTATGTCATTTCTCATAAACGCATAAAATTGTGAAAATGTGTATAAAATTAATATACATTTTTTCTTTATTTCCTATACCGTACTAGACGACAAAAACAAATTAAATGACTAACAATGATAACATACTTGTAACATAAACTTTTTTTTTCAGCAATTTATTTTAATTTCATGATATATAAATAATATCTATTAGGTACACAACTTCGAATATAGAGTTCTAAAACTAGGATGTAATTTCTTAGAAGATCCAATTTCCAATACTCAGACGAATCTGTTTAGGTTTATGAAAAAGTGGCATTCTGAAAACGCCTATCTACTAATTTTTCGATGCTTTAAAAAAAATGTCTCCATGAACCAAAATTTCCTATCTACAATATTTAAAGTACTTTCCGTGTCCCATAGCCGTGGGACATCCAGGATTCCGTTTCATTATATTGGTAAGGTTTCATACGTTACAATATTATATAAGTAGAAATTATAATAAAAATGTCTAGATTACATATTTGATACAAACTTAAAAGTTTATTTACTGGACAAATCAGAAACGACAAATTTAAGTACCTATAATCCGAAATCCTTACTCTAACGTTGCAGTTTGCGAAGAGTCAACAAAAGAATATAATATAATAAATAAAAATTATATTGGCATAAGATTCTGCTAGATCTATAAACTCTACCAAGTAGCCAATCACTTCCAAACGGTAACCTAAGAAACGTGAGCTTGTCTCCCGTCGACGCAAGATGGCGCTGTTTCACTACAATAGGTCATGTAGTCAATACGAAGAACTTCATACTCGCAGTACTTACGTACCTATATATTTTGTATATTTGCACTATGAGGTGTAAAGTATGTGTTGGCCTTAGAAGATTATATGTGACCAATGCTACAATTTACTTATTAATATTTACTTACGTATTTTGAAATGTAGACACGCACATTTTTATGGAAATAAATTGGAAAAAGGAACTACTGCAATAGAATTGCATTCTCGATTGCCTTTAATTTAATTTAAGAAGTTCATCATTGAAACTTTTAAAAAGATTCAGTAGCAATAAATATCAGGAAAATCTATTTTCTTTGACTGTTTTGACGACGTAACATGTATCCTCCGTCCATGATCTTCAACAAATTCATTTATTGAATTTCAGAATACGTAAATCTAAGTACCTACAGAGTACTAAAAAACCGACCTCAAAAGTACTTAGTTTGCCACCTTAGAGGTGGAATATTTTCTTCAAATTGAATAAATCTCCTCCTTTTTTGAAGTCGGTTAAAAATACTAGACTACCTGCCGCAGCGCTGTCTGTCTGTAGTACTTTTAAAGCCGTAGTACAACCAAACTAGCCCATTCCAAATTTCTTTGAAATATTTTTTGTTATTAACTCTGACAAGGTATATTTCCCACGATGTTTTTCTTAACCAATACAAGTAACTAAGGTCACTGCTAATGAATATGCAAGTTTAAGATACAGGTGCCATCATAACTATAAAAAACATACCTAGAGATGCTAGCTACAACGAATTATTCACCCGTATGCAACTTTATAAGCGAAATGTCCTTTGGTTGGTCATTCTTATGATTGCTTGCCAGCATTATCTTTCATTGTTTTAATTAATTTATGATGGTCTGTGTCCTTATTTCAAATCGTGGGCGCAATTGTGATGTTGTTACTTATGTAGCACATGAGGTACTTTAGGAATAAGCTCGTACAAATTAGTATCCCAGTACGAATTTTATTTTCCTTCCGACTTACTTCATAACGTGGTAAGAAGGCTGAATATGATAATCGCTTAGCGTACAGCCACGAAAGTCTTAAAACCAGTTGCTACAGAGTAGCTAGCTACGCTATTAAAGTATTAAAACAAAATGTATATGATTCGGCCTTCTCGCGTTGTCGTAATGAAATATTAAATACTTAGTTCACGTAGCAATGTCTTCAAGTACTTTATAAACTTTCTCTAGTGAAAATTTCCTCGGACAATGCGATCTATGCAAAAGCAATTTCTAATCAGTATGTGCTCGAAAGTGCAGTACTATATTCCCACATATACTTTATGGAAATCAATTAAGCATTCACTTATTTTGTTTAAAGAATTATAAAATAAATCTACATTTTACATATTTTATAACGGATTTCAAATGCCTTTGTATCTAAGACATAAATTTTTAATTTTTAATGTATACCTATTGCAGAAGCCAAGAAACTGCGTACATGCTTAGGTACATTTTAAATTATTAATAAAAATAAAAATAAATGTTTTTCTTTTCATTTTGAAATAAATTTCATAAATGAAATCATAAAAAGCTCAAAGGGTTTGCAAAGAAAAAAGAACCGAGACACGACGAAATATTTAATTTTTCCCTTTTCATACATTCTTTTCTAAATTCGTCATAAAACTGTCGAGAGCACATTCATTTTTAATTATACATTATACTTAACAAAAACCTCACATTTTCTGGCGTGATTAACTACATTAATTTATCTGTACAATAATAATTACGAGACCTTTAATTATTACATAGTTTAGGTAAGTAAGGATCTAAGCGTGTATCTACTGAAATCGAAACCGTCCTTATAGAAAAGCGGTTGGATCGACCGCTATAGTTTCATCCGAAAAGCAGTCTACAAAAACATCTTCACAAGCCAATACGCAAATTAGAATAAGTACCTAGCCGATACACACCATGACTTTCTTTATAGGAAACAATATACTAACATATTAATTGACTAATATTAGTTGAGTATAGGTATATTTTAAGAGGCTTTTGCTTTTCAGATAAAACTTTTGCTTGTCACAATTCTTTGAATAAGTTGGTTAATGGACATTTATGTTTGCGAATGATACATTTCGCATCGTCTAAGCATCGAGATTTCTGACGCCTTCAAATTAAATAGAAATTCGGTCACCTAGACGAGGTTGACATTTGTACAAAAATTTCTAATTTTATCGTTATTATAATTACGGGACATTACAGATTTTATTAATTAGATCCAAGTAAACTACTAAGTTTACAATAAAACATTTATTACATAGATAATATATGATAAAATAGGGAAGATGTAGCTAATATTACAAAGATGATATTCTAAGACTGGGATGACTTTAGTTATAAATATGTTACTAAGTAGAAATAATTCAAATAAAATTTGTACACAATGTACCTAAAGCATACTGTTCGATGTAAAGCGAGATACAAGTGAACCTAGTTTTAATTAATAAACTCGTATGTATATTGCAGTTATATTCATGTATAAATAAATAATAAAATATCCAAGTAAAACAAAATAAAAATGTAATAGAATGGCAAAAGCACAATGAATCATAGGGACAATATTAATGCACTTGCCCATATATTACCTAATTAATTGATTATAACATCAACTTTCAATACTAAAAAAGTCATAACAGTAACTTATTGTATAATTCTACTGGAACCGAGTTAAAGCTTTGTCAGAAATCCATAATTTAAATAACAAAAAATTTACGAATTATCAGATAAGAAATTAAAACAGCAAATAAATATTTGATCATCATGAACTTTCTATTTCTGCATATGCATTAAGAATTATTATTATTCGATGGTAGTAATAGATAAAGTTATTAGTTACAAAAGGGCTGCACTTACAATTTACCTGCTGAATCTTGACGGGCGGTGTAGCGAAAGATACGTTAATAAATTATATAACTGCCACCGAAGCAACTCGAGTAATTCAACAATTTGGTAACGAAAATAAAAGTTAACTGATTAAGACTAACCACCCTCTGAACAGCGATACGAATACAACAATAAGCAGTCTCACAAAATATTTTACATAATTTATTTTCAATAAACTATCTAGAAACTATAATTCATCGGTGACGTCTTTAATATTCGTAAAGCGCACTTAAATAAATTTCAAATACATATTCAGCGCTATACTAGACATTATTAATATCAGGAATCGTTATCTACTCATGTACTTAGTCTCGTTAAAATTACAGAACATAATTTCGTAATTAATACTATACACAAATCGACAACACAATTTATCTTACTATGAGATTCTCTGGGACTCGAGGCGCGCGGGCAGCGAAGCGTCCATATTACGTACGAAACGGTATAGCGAGTATAGCGTTCCTAAAGTCTATCGGGTAACAAACATTGGACGTGAACAAATCCTCGGAACCTTTAAGTACGACCACTCTCCACTCGTAAGTCCTTCGGAACTTTTCCTTCCCAGTGCGTAGATTTAGCTGGCTATACCGTGGTGAAGGGGGTAAGTCCCAGAGAAGGGCGCGGGTCACTGATGGTGCTTGGCGGGCGGCGCGTGGTGCAGGGCTACGTGGTGCGGCGCATGGTGGTGCCCATGGTGGTTGTGATTGTTCGCGTTCGAGTTATTGTTGTTGTTGTTCTGCGCTGCTTGCGCCGCTTGTCGCTGCGAGTTCTTCTTATTCTTCATCCGCCTGTTCTGGAACCATATCTTCACTTGTCGCTCCGTCAAGTTCAGATTCCGTGCTAGCTCCCATCGCTTCTGTTTCGATACGTAGGCGTTGAAAAGGAACTCTTTCTCTAGTTCAAGGGTTTGGAACTTTGAGTAAGGTTTGCGCTTTTTGCGCACTGTTACTTGGCCAGTCCAGTCGAGGGGATTCGAGGACCCGCAGCCGACACCAACTCCAACCGACATCGAGAGGGAACCTGCACAAAAAGCGTAAAATTTTTGTTACTTTAAATATAAAACTCGATGGTAGCACATTCGCCGGAGTTCATGCAAACAGTTGTTCATAATTAAATTTCCGTAGAATACCTAAATGTCTGTTGGCACGATTACGCGACTCTACAAATTAAACATATGCCTTGTTCAAAGGAGCTAGTTAATAATTTTAGCTTGAATTAAGACAATGTTGTTAGGTTTGTGTATACAACAAAATTGAAGCAGGCTAGTAATATATTCAAATTGTGCGTCGGAAGTTTAGCTTCATAACTCTGATATTGCGAATAGTTTTAATTAGCTCGGATAACTGCATCGGTCGCACGAACGCGGCGAAGTCCGCTTTCAACTAGCTATTTCCATACGGCTTTCATAGAAACAATTGCAAGCGGGCTACGGTGCATTAGGAGTTGCATGTAGCCGTCATATAGCTCGATTTATGTGAGCGGTCCTTTTGATGAGATCACCGACAATAAACTTTGTATGCGACCCGCGACCTTCTCGATGCTCGATGCGTGCAGCACACTGTACCATTTCCTATTATTCAAAACGGTACTGCGCTGCACGTTGCGAAATAGATGCCTCGTTGTCTAGCGGATGAATGCCTGTGCAAGTGTGGCGTAAGCACTTGCATCCCGAAGCAAATTGAGGTATTGTACATGCACTGGTACATAAATACCTTATGACTTGACATCTACGCCCCAATCGATATTGTTAAGTGTATACCAAATTATTGAACATTCGATTTAGAAAGGCAACAAATTAGCTCTTGACAAAGTGTGAAAATTATTATTGTTCGAGGTGGCGCTACCTGTTAAAATGCTTACAAAATCAATTACCTGTACACACTAATATGTTCTGTGTTGTACAAGCGGCTAAAGCTTTTAAAATGAAAATAATTTGCAAGATTTAATATAAGACTTGCCGTAGTAGATTTTAATTTGACTTTTACTTTTAACACATTCACTTGAATACGCATTCGTGTTTAAAACAAGTGATTCGGGTACCTAAGCGAGTTCATAAAACTGCCCTACCACAATAAGTGTGTCACCTACGACGTTAGGTAATACATTTTTACTACTTGCAATCCGAACGTCAGCTATCTAAAATTAAACGAAGTCGTTAAATTTCCGAGGACAAATGTATGTGTGGGTTTCAATTTAAAAACAATGCGTATTGGAACATTGCTTTTGTTCAAGCTTGTTTCTCTTTATCAAATCTTCCTCGTGTAGCCAATATCCTTATTACAATCATTGCATACTCTCGTAGTAGATCTTATTATTTTCTTTTCGAATTTCATATTATTAAACCAGACCAATCCAAATTAAGTATTGTCCTCAGCAGTCAGTGCATGCCTTACTTTTATTTAAAAAAATTGCAGTGAATATTGAAATTTCTTAATACTCTCGTTATTTAATCATTGATTCAAGACGATTCGCTTCGCCGATTGAAATGAAATTAAAGTTCGTCGTGGCGAAATCGCATAAAGAAAAGGCTTTGGACTCAAAGTTTCTAATAACGTCACTTAGCCGTATTCGTTCTTATTTCGCAGTATCATAAAACGAAAAAGTGTTTATAAGGTCGTAAATCTCGACAGGTGGATCAGACAATAATTAAACCAAATCAGTATTGTCTTCTGTAACGGCTGGTAAAACCAAAATTGGGCGCTACGGAAACTATTTTATAAAATCTAAAGGCTGAGACACATGGAAGGCCTCTGGAAGAGGCAATATGGAGATTTTGAGTTACAATCTTTCATAGCAAGCTCCTAATAAACCTAAATACATTCAAGGTGCCTATACGAATGGTATATATATTTCACGGAAAATGGCAAATAAATCTTAAGTCTTATTACAGAAAATTCTTCAGTCGCTAAATAGTTTATTACCCACAAAATGAATGTTCCTCCTAGAAAATATTCTTGCAGTGGTTTCCAGCCCTGGCAATTGTTTAAAGAAAACATAATGACAAGCCAAGTTGTCAATTATGAGGGGATAGGTAGCGATCAGTGGTAATAAAAGTGCGGGTTCTTGTCGCCCATAAAACTTTACCTACCCAACCGCAGGCATTGTCTATTTCATGTATCTTACTCCGTCAATTGACAACAGCTCTTCTTAATTCTTCGACATAAAGTTTGGAATGCTACTTAAACTTGGTTGTAGGAAAATTGATTTATTTCTGGTATTTTGTCGAAGGCAATATTGTAATTATAGATAAATATTCAGGTCTAAAATAATACATGGTTTTAGTTCTACAGTCAGTTCGACTGTCCAATTCTTAGTTTAATATGCCAAAGAAACACGCTTGCCGTAAAAGTCTCAAGAATGTCGTCCAGGATTTTCTCTTCAGAATTTTAAAGATTTTTTTCTTTGTTACTTTGATGATTCTATATAAAAACTTTGGTTGCAGATGCAGAACGGACGAAGAAATACCTTTAAGCTACTCGAGTCGTGAGTGTATATTGAGTACCGCTAACAACTCTCACTAACGGAGCGGTGCCATTCCTCAAACCGTTTACTAAGCCGTAAATGCAGAAATCAAAGTCAATGTCAACCTCAGGTGGGCCGTAAACATACAATCATAAAGTGACGTGAACACTCGTATAACTTTTTCAACAATTGTTTCCTTTTAATGGCCCATTATATGCGCGTTTTACGCAAAATTATGTCAAGTTACACCTCTGCCGTAACAGAGGCGCGATAAACCCATCTTTATGGTTAGGCGGCGATCGAAAGTGAACTAGCGTCGAGCGTTTATGAATGGAGCCTTTTTATTGCTCTCATATTGACATGGCGGTCGTAGTTTCGTAATTACTACTTACTAGCGCGATTTGGGAATGTGAACCAGTGTTATTGCATGTCAGTAACGTCGTCGCGGTTTTATGATTATCATAAAAGTGATATACATCTACAAGATGGAATGAATCGGCCCGTATGCAACGAACTCAGCTCCTCCGACCGTCTAGTTTTTTATCGTCTCATCATCAGTCTATAATGTGTTTATTGTAGCAATATTTGGTTTATTGCGGCTACTCAAAGATCAGTTTATTGTCTTAGCGCTCAGGTATCGTGTTTATTTATTAGTTATACATTTTTATTGGCGCTTTATTTTACGTAAACTTTAATTTATTGTCGGTTGTATAGTGCCGTTTAACATTGCCTATAAAACGGTGCTTACGGTTCGTTTTTAAACATTTGTAGCACGTGTTTCGTTCATTCATCAAATTTATGGTGGTCTGTGGGAAAATGTTTTGATTTGAGCGCGTGGCCGCCTTCTGTACGGAGTTTTAAGGATTTCTCGCAAAGTTTATGCTAATGTTTATTTGGATTAACTCTCGATTTATCGATACTTTGAAGGACGCTGAGCGTTCAATGGTTTACTTACACGGATGATTATTCTGAATTGCTCTTTCTATGTAAGTAGTCGTACTATTTCTGCAGTTATATTTTCTATGAAAGATATTTTAATGGAATTGTTGTGATTTAAGGGCCTTATTTGTAACAATTTATAGATAGATTTATTTTGAAAATCGCACGTCATTGACGATAATCATTGAATTAAATATTAGGTTTCTGGCATTCTCAAGAGATTATTACGTAACATACTTTAAACTAAAAATATCAGATTAGGGATATTGGTACATATTCAGAACATAACTATTGTAATAGGTACCAAAGGGAAAATAAATTTGAGAAATCGTACTAATCAAAACTTGAATCCATATCTTCAAGACGAGAATATAATGCAGAAAGTGCAAGAGTGTGCATAGCTAGGTGATTGCGACACCCCCACAGATTTGGCGTCCGTAAGCTGACGCTGTGTGCGTGCGGCATACACGAGCACAAACCTGTGTGCGGTGCGACGCGCCCAACGCCATCTAGCGACCAGCGGCGCCAAATGCCATCGAGGGTCAAGGTTGACAAACCCATCATTATTTACAAATCAACCATTTGACTTTACTCCTCCGCGCTACATAAATTACTAAAAATTTTTACTAAAATATCCTCAAACACACACGTCCTCAAGTCTTGCAATCTCATACTACAGTGTGTTTATAAATCACAAATGGAAAATTGTTTTGCCGCTCGATATGTTTGGCTCACGAGCGACCGATAAGTTCAGGTAAAGATTATAAACAGGTGTTGTCGTGACCGGACGTCGAAAAACGTGATTGCTGGATTTGAGGATAGTGCAAGATTACAAAAAAAATAATGCAGAAAATATATACTGACCGGGTAATGCCCCTGGGGGTGGGTATGGTGCACTCGAGACGCTTTCAGGCGCATAGTTCCGAAGACCATAAGCATCATGGGAGAAACTCGACGCCTCGGAGACGGCTGTCCGGCGCTCTTCGCTGCTGACGTAGGGCAGGGGCTGGTCTCCTCGTGGCGCTCCATACGGATAATTCCAGCAAGGTTGTGAGAAGCCTTGATGACAGCCACCGTCTGCGTAGGGCTTGTATTCTCCACTGCCAGTGGGCCAGAAAGGAAGGGTCGATTTGCGGTCTCTGTCAGTAACGGGAAGATTGTAGTAGGTAGGTCCCCCCGGATACTGATGATCGAAAGAGGCAGGCGCGTCAGGCGGGTAGCCCCAGGTGGGTTGCTGTGCGTGACGTATGACGCCGGGCTCGGGCTCGCCGTAGCGCTTGGCAGGGATATGCAGCGGGGGTTGAGGCGGGTTGGAGCCCACGGAGGCGGGCGAGGCGCTGGACGCGGAGGGCGGTGCGGCGGCTGGTGCCGCCGGGGGCGAGCCTCCGGGGGGCGACGCGTGCGCCTCCTCGTAGAGCGCGCCGCCGACCCCGTTCATCATGGTCCACCAGGCCGGCCCGGTGGAGTGGCCGGATGCGGGCGCTGGCGACGCGGCAGCCGCATCGCAGGGCGCGCCGAGGCCCCCGACATGGTTGTCAGGGTACAGGGTGGCGACCGGGCAAGCCACGGGGGAGCAGGAACGTCACCGGCCGGTTCACGCGCGTCGCGGGCACATCGCACCGCGTACACACGCGTCCCACACACGGCAGCGGCACATGAAAATTAAAACGCGATTCCCGATTTAGCTAGCTGACCGGACGAGAGTTGACCGCAAAGTTTACAGGCTGAAAAACTACAGTTCTGGAAGCTCGTCGGCGAAATACGACAGTACAATTGAAATTTAAACGTATTTTGAAACCGAACAGTCACTGATATGATAATACTGTCGTAATTTCAGAAAAAAAATTATAAGTTCGTTTAGTTGCAAAGTCCTCCTGGTGAGTTTACTAAATAGTCTTTTATACACTGAGGGCACCGGGAAAATTGTCGGAAAGTTTTCGTAGTGACGCAACAGTTTTGTTATTTATTTTGTAGCAACGAGTATCGGTTCGGAGTACGTGTCGGTCGCGAGCGTGTCGCGTGCGAGCTAGTGTCGGGATACGCGAGACGCGCAATCGGCGGCGCGGTCGAGCGCGGAGTGGCGGAGCGCGGCCGCGGCGGTGTGCGCCGCACACACGCGCGCGCACGTCCGCAGACATCTAGCGGCGGGTGGCGGAACCCGCGACGCGCTCCGCTTCGCGTTTCACGACTCGCGCTACTGGCGGATTGTAGGCGGGCGGTTGGCAACGCGCCCAACTCAGCATTGCTGCTATCTTCTGTACATTTGATATTAGTCTGATTCTACCTAATTTTGTTATTGACTTCCAGCGACATCATGTTGGACAATTTTGAAACTCTATTTTTGATACTGAATTTAGTAATAAGAAGTAGATAATATTATTATTAAATATAGTGTCTAGATTATTATATATACCTCGAAAGACATTTTTTTTGTAAAAGTATACCCCCAAAAAGCTTTTAAATTCAATTGATCATTGCAATTAAGTATCTACACGATGTCCCTGACTTATTGAGTGGAATCAGAGTAGAGAGCAAGGGTTGTATCGGAGGCAAGGCGAAGCGAGGCGCGGGTGCGTAGTAAAGCGATTAATGGAGGCAAAATAGCCATAAACTGCCGTTTAACCAAACTGCAAGCGTCACTCGACCATCGCCGAGTTGCCACCAATAAAAAACGCGAGACTTTATGACGGCAACTCACTCACATTTTATTGTGAGTATAAACTTAATTTTATCGTCTGTTAATTTCACCACAAATAATGCTAGGTACTAGATTAAATTATGAGTACAATTTTGTTTCATTGCTTTGTCAATGGCAAGGTCGAGTTCTAATGCCTTACATTTTTGGATTCTTCTTCTTCTTCCTCAGTTAAGTGACTTTTCTGCTACAGTTAAAGCAGTAGTGATAATTTATGGCCGCAAACAAACTTAGAGAATGAAATCTCAACTAACTCAACTCAACTCAACATTTAGAAAAGACATTCCACAGAACGGTCCACATACTCGTAAATAGATTCTGATGCTCTAGTTTTTATTTGAAAGAAAGTCTAAAGAAAAAAGCACATCTAAACTTTTGTAAGATGAGTCCTAATTAGTTAAAATTAAGTATTTCTAAATTCTCTAAACCATAAGTGGCGTTATAAGTTCATTACTTAAAGACGCAATAAACACAACATAAATATCTAGAAAGTCTTACAGTTATCATTCTTTACATTTCATACAACCCCGACATTCTTGAAGACACACCCTTCCACGCCGTATCAAAGGGAACAATGCGTCGTACAACCAATAAATTTGCTTACAATATTTCACACAGCTCCTACTGCTCTGTTTACACAAGACACGGCAATAAAAAACATCAAGTGAACAAAAGAATAACACATATATACGATTAAGTACTGTTGTTAACACGTATAACGCTTATTATGGTAATAAAGGCCAAATTTGTCAAAATACAATACATGATTTTAACGTCCGCGTGACAGATAAGTCAGCCAATTTCCCACAGTTTAAAGGTTAAGCCATGTAATATGCACTATCAACATTCTTCTGGACAAATAAAACTTATTGTTGACTCTACTTTTAAATGAAATTGGAGCGGTTTTTTTTAATAATAAACAATATGTACGAGTTGTACAACCAATTCGTACATGTCGTAGAAAAGTTGACACTAAGCGAAGTTGCAACATGCAGAAGTATTTACAAATGTACAGTCAACAGCACATCAAGCTACAAATTGACGTATTTTGTTCCGTTGCACTGGAGGCGATTTTCGAACAAAAACGTGTAGTCTGATGCACTGTTGTCCGTACATAACTATTTCTAAGTTATGTACATTTGTGAAATGTTTGGCAGTAATACATCTCGCTAACAGTGTAAGAAATATCGCGACGAAACCTAGATATCAAAGATGGTTCATGATATAGGTAAATAAACTATAAAATCTACCAAAGATATATTTGTGAAATTGCCAAACCGACTCGGGCCAGCGAGGCAGACTATATCCTAATTACTATTCGTAATGAACACATGTGCCCAGCACACATAAAGGGTTGTTGATGGTGAAGATATTATAATCTACATCGAAAGTAACTTATTAATTTAAAAACAAGGCATTCCGGCTCTATAAGGCTCATTAAGTACAACATTGTCATAAAATATATGTATGTTAAAATAAAAACTTAATTATTCTTGTACATTATTCTTTATAGTGGCCAAAAGGAAGCTCAAAGTAAGCCACACCCCTGAACTCTTCATAGTTTATGGTGTAACCGTCTTGCTACAATCGCAAGTATAAATAAAATTGAATGAATCGAAAAGTTGTAAATTCTCTTTTGTGGATTTGTCAACAGGATATTTGTTAATAGCTGGGATTACGAGTGTTTAGTATTTTTAATACAGGTTTGTAGAGACACCTTGCGATTCTATGCATTGTCTGAATTTACTTTTATTCTTTGTGAATTGTACCTACATAAATTTAAAAGCTACCTGCGCTTGTAATTTTTATTACAAATTACAGTGAAATGTAGCGCAGTATTGAGTGAAATTCAAACAAACCAACCTAGACAAAAATTATAAGTTCAAATATATTTCTCATACCTTAACATAACAGCGTCTGAGACTCAATAAAAAAATCCACCTATGAGATTCTAAGTGAACTCTAGAACTAGTATGAATAGGTATCTGTTATAAAAGATGTCAAGTATAGTGAAATACGTCTTGTAAACTGCAAACAGGTACTGAGTTACAAAGTAAACAACCGGTACTGCCTGTGTTGGTTGCTTCAAGTAACTACCTTAGAGAGAGGCCTTAATTAACTGTAATTAATGCTAATTTCTTAGGCATTCAATATTCAGGATAATCATGTAAGTGCTGCCTTAACTTAATCATAAACTTTAATGATTTATTTACAACTTAATACTTTAATGCATAGTTAGCGGGGATATATATTTTATAGTACTTTGAAATATTATTTGAAAAGAATGTAATGCCACATCTATATAAAAAAGTCATCGTGTACCTACTTCGTAAATTTATAAAGTATAAATTATTAAATTTTTTTTTAGGAAATGTACCTATGTATTTCTCCAATAAGTATTCAAACCGATCGGCTATAGATTTCTCACGAAAACGTGTTGATTTCCAAAAATTTAAGTAAATCCTAAATATTTTGTATTTAAAATAAAATAAACTACACTTTTATTACATATGAGTTTTGTAATTCCCATCTACACTAAAACATAGAGAAAATTACTTTGCGAAAAAAAATTACGTAACGAAACCTACATGTGTGAAAATTTTGTAACAATATCGCCAAAGCTATTTATTTCACCTACCTACATATCATTCGCGTTCACATTGTGCGTTTGCGCAACTACACATGCTCGAGATAAGAAAACGTACTTTTATATACGGCTGCATGGTCGACCATTGGCCTGGAGAGTTTCACAACGTAAATATTTATAGACAGACAAGCGCAGATGAACACTTGTTCCTATGTTTGCTTCTGTCATTCAACGCGCCTGAAACTCGTCTGGCTTGTTTGTGAGATAATGTTACTTTTGTATTAGGAGATAGGTCTTTTTTTCTGCTGTGGTACTAGAAAACACATATTTACGGACCGTAAAAAGATTTTACGATTACATTACAAAAAGTTACAAACTTTAAAGTTAAGCCGATTTGTTATTGAAAATCTTGTTCTGAGTGTGATTAATTTGATTAAATGTCACGCATCTATCATTTTAAACCACATTTTGTAATCACTATATCCGCGTTTGTACGTCGACTTTCTAAACCTAACAAGTTTTCATTTCATGATGAATAATTTAAATAAATTTTAGCAGTAGAGCTTCTTATGAAGAGTTCGTCCACAGATACTTCTCGTCCACAAGTACCGCCTATTTCTGCCGCCAAGCAGTAATGTAAGCATTACTGTGTTCCGGTTTTAAAGGATAAGGGTGCTGAGGAAACTATAGGCACATGGACACGTCACTTATGTCTCAGAGTGAAGAACGTATTGTCAGTGCCTCTCAGATCTTTGCGATTTAAAGTTAAAAAACTACATTCTATGAACAGGCGTGTCGTTTACCACCAGGCGCACGACTTGTTCGTCCAGTCACTTGGTGTTATAAAAAATTTAATTAAAAACAATGTGGAATATTTATTACTAATTTCAATTTGTCCAAAATTTATAAGTATCAAAACGCATATTTTATTTATAACGTGTATTCAATTAATAGAACCAATATTTTAGTCTGAACGTGCAATAAGAGCGGCCGTGCGATCCTCGGAAGACATAAATAAAAATGTCCGACGCGTCCCATTTTGAAAACCCGTCGTGTATCTGCAAGACGCCTTTCTCTTTACCTACACATACATACTCCATATACAATGTATTTAAATACGTATCTATATAAAAAGGTACCAGAAAATATGGATAAAATACCAGCTGTTGGCAACATTAAGCATTAACACGTTTATTCACAGTTATAAAATTCTATAGGTTGTGTTTTTTATCGAATTAAAAACCATACGATCCAAGGTTGAAGCACAATTTATATGGTTTTTTTTTTACATTTCTTAGCCTGATTCTATTAACAGCAGCTATCAGAACATGATCCTTCGCACCTCTACCTATCGATATACAGTCAATATATGGTAATGTAATTTAATGACATTACGTTCCACTAATAATATACGGTATGTAGGTATTATGCTGAATCCGAATTTAAGGGCGTAAAAACTTCGAAACTAACTAACTTCTTATCGTTAAACCTACATAAAGTTTTTTAAGTAGAAGCTAAAGTATAAAATATAATAATAATAATGCCCAATTCAAAAGACGGTGAAATACGGGAATAAGGGCAGTCAGGTCCATATCGAGAAACCTGTTAGGTACATATCTCCAGCTTTCTCCGTTACAAGCCTCGTGTAACTTGGTTTGAAAGTACCGTTCATCAAAAAGGCATAAATTATGTACCGACTTAAAAATTACTTCACCCGATATTTTCTATAATGATGGTATAGATCTAATAAATTGCATTTTTATATGTATAGAAGTTAATAACATACAGTTTGGTTGCGATGTGCACTAAATTTAAACAATATTTTAAAGTTTATTTGTAATTGTAAAAATATATAATGATATAAAATATCAGTGACTCTTCGAATATTTACAAACCTAAAACGTTATAATAGTAGTAGTTAACTTTCGACCTTAGGTACTGGATATAAAATCCAAGAGATGATAAGTGGCAATAAATTTCTTAAGTAATAAATTATATGCTTGTAGGAATGAATAATGACTTTTGATCTTTATTAACATAAAAAATTGCACAAAAATGCTTATGACAGTTGTTTAAAAATTTACAAAAAAAATATAAAACTCAAATTTTTTCAGATTTACATATAAAAAAAAATCTCCTTTTTTTGATAAACGGGCGTGACATAAATAACGCTTTGAACTGTAAATATATAATTTAAATAAATGGTTTTATGAAAATAATATTATATTCACCTTGTCGTAAACTGGCTAGCGAGGTCTGTGTAAACGGACAGGGTAATCTGCAAGCAAGAAATTACACACAAAATATGTAATAATAAATAACACAATATAACATTAAAATGTAATTATAATAATATTTCATATATTTAGAGATGTCAGGTCTATGTGATAAAAATTATGGGCAACATATCGACTCATACGTAGAATAAAGACCTACGTGTAAGACAGCTTATTCACAGGACATTGTACATTTCGTTCCCTGTTCTTAGCAGTGGATATCAGATCGACTATTGTTCGATTTTATATTTCCGAAATGATATAAGTTATAAAAATTCTGGAAACACCTGTAGATAAGCCTTAATTTGAATAACGAGATTATTTATTTATCTTCTTTTCGATGTATAATCACATCGGACTCTGTTCTTTGGATCAGTCGATGTAGACACATAGATACGATATGGAAATAATTGTAAAAACTATATATTTTTTAATAGCAATAAAGCAAGCAACCCCCAATAAAATTTCCGAATTTATTGTTTTATGTTAAACGGTTATACTTAATTATAACCGATTCAAATTATTTGTCAAATTAATGGTAAAATATCGTTTACGATTTTCTCTTTTCGTATATGAACAACCAAAATATCTTTCTTTAAAATCAAATATTATTTCTGTTTTTTTTTTTAATAATTTTAAAACGTCTCCAACACCTCTCTCTTCTTTAATTTTCATTGACAGATAAATTTAGAACGCATTTTTGGGGAAGTGTTCCTTTCTATATTATCTCTTATTTATGTAACCAAGTTTCACAAATAGATAGCGATAAATTTTGAAGGTTATAATTTAAGTGTAACGTGACTAACAAGCCACTGGAACTCCTCTTAAATCATTACCACGACTTAACCGTCCCCGGAACATTACAGTTTATTTTCAGATCCACCCACAAGGATCCCATTCAGTTACAACTTACATTTTATTCCTCTACTACATTGGACCCGATAGAAATATAAATAAATCCTTTGTAAGTCTTTCGATACGGCAGTAAGTCACGATTTTTACATAAAATAGGTGATTTGCGCCAAATGCCCCGGTTTTTTTCTTTTAAAGGGGGTGCGGTATCCACTTATTTTTCGGAAACGAAAAAAACATGTTTACAAACTTTTTTCTTGTCAACCATCGCAGACGTGTTTGTGTTTAAGGCTCGTAAATTCTGTTTTGTGTTTTACAGTACAATCAAAACACGTTTTCAGAATGATTGATTTTTAACAGATATTTACTTAGCAAGGTTATATTAAATTAAGTTAAGGAAGTTTAAAGAAAAGTACTTGTCTTTTTTAATAAGGATTTGTAATGATACATCTTTTATATTTATAGTCAGACTTAGTTGTCTAATACTCGTTACCTACGAGTGCCTACTCAGTAAATAATTACATGGGTATAGGAAAAGTTGAGTCGTATTTTCGTCGGAACTTTTTCGTTCATCTAACTTTCTACGCATTTGGGCATCTAACTAAACTCCTATCAAATCTAATCCGGCCGGGTTTGGGCAACTTTTTTATTTTTCGACAAGTATTACTAAATAGAGCAGCCAAGGCGATAGTGGAGGGCACTCGAAATGACGTTTACGACTCTATCGAAAAGCATAGGCCGCCGACCGACTGCGTGGTACCCCTAGACCATTTCAGAACGATCTACCCCATTCGTTTACACGAAACAATATATCACTGAAAAGGGGATTATTAATAGTAATTCAGAGAGCATCTTAAACTGGTTGTTGGAGTATTTCAATGGCTATAGCGACAGGACAAGTTTGGACGCACATTACAAGCTGTCAGGTTGTGTTATCTATGCCACAAGTATGTGTTATAAGGAAACACGACTCCCACGGACTTACAAACGACTAGGCCTCTGATATATTCGTAGTATCTACAGTAAAAATATAGGTATACTTATATGTACGTTTGCTTTATTCAAATGTACTATATATATTTGCGTAAAGTATACCTACACGTGTTTTGAAATATGTAGTTATGTAAATAAACATACTCGGTAATTGCAATAAATTTTAAATTAAAAAAATTTTGGCGCATCGACTGACCGTAATTTCTATTAATTAGTTGTTTTCACCTCGATTATTTAATCGTTCAAAAAAGCATGAAACGCAGAGGTACTTAAATTAAAAAATAATTACTATTTATTCCTCTTTATTAACTTCGTTCAGTAACCTACAAATAGTTTATAATATACGATGAGATATAGGTATTCGATATGCCATGACCATGGGTGGGTTTGTTTCTTTAAAATACATACAAGATTTTATATCCGGAAAAATTGTTTCATAACCAATGTAGGTATAACAATCGCGATAATCTAGCTAATTTACATAGATACTCTGTCCAGTGATACCGCGCGATACAAAAGTTTAGGTAAGTATATACTTTATAATATAAACAACTATACAGCGTTTTTATTTCGTTTCTTTTGTAGTGCAGACATACAAAACACCTTGGGTTGCTGGCTGCATAAAGTATACGAAACGTATAAAACATTTTTGGATATTGATTTTTTTCTAAATCTAATGTTGTGCAACGTGATTGATATTTTTTTGGGGTACTCTGTACATGTGACTAGAAGTCCCAACAGGATGTATAAAGCGTATTTAAATAAACATAGTCGCATGCAACATCTAGTCTCGTGCTATTTACAATAACACGTCAGTGGGAGGGGGTCCGAGAGGTTAATGGCGCGAAAACTGACTGGATCATATCCCGGTTTACGACGCGAGAGTAAATGGCCGATTCATTTGCAATTCTACTGCCGGACGACGGGAAAACAACACCGGTCTTCAACATTTGCTTATCTATCTGGATGTGTGCTTTAGTATTTTGATTGTGTAAAACGTACCTTATGCTTTCGTATTTAATGTTCACGGTCTAAGATACTCAGCGGGGGCAAGCGCTATAATACGAATAAAACTATCGGTCTATTTGTACAGACGATGTTAAAAATAATCAAACCTCACATTTGGAGTGGTTCTTTAGTTTTCTGTTAAAGTATATAGTTAAAATAAATAGGCACGTAAATTTATTTAAATAATAAGCGAACAAAAAGAGTTTTACTTTATACCTTCTGGTATCAAGTATTTTCTAATAGATTTTGTAACATCTTGAGCCTAAGGAAAACAATGATAGTTTACAATAATTGTTTTTGTTTGCAACTGACAATATTTAAATTTAAAAATAGCTTATTTCTTTTTTTACATTTAGGCCTGGTAGAGTCACGGTATTGTGGTATCAAGTCCATTTACACTACCTATGTTGTATTGTGCAAAAAAGTTTAAATATATAAATAAAATATAAAAAATAAAATAATTATAACAAACTAGTGGAGTAATTTCACAAAAAATAATTGAATATCAATTCAATAAAAATTTAATTATATAAATAAAATTCAATTTTTACCTAAGTACCTTAACTTTTACGTAAGTGCGTTAAGGATAACCTACACACCCTTGCCAATTTCTGCCGCCAAGCAGTAATGTGAGCATTACTGCGTTTCGGTTTGGACGGGTAAGAGTACCTACTAGTGAAATTACAGGCACACAGAACTTTTGAACTTATGTCTCAGGGTGACAGGTGTAGTGGCAGTGTCCATAATACCTTTGCGATTTAAATCTCTGAATGGCACTGTAACTGTTATGGATAGGCGTGTCGCTCACCACCAGGCGCACTATTTGTTCATCCCGTCACTTGGTATTGCACAAAAAAATTCAAAATTTTTTTTAAATTTTACTTCTAAGCAACAAATTTTTCGAGCTTGTATATCAACATTTTGACATATTACTTAGTGTACCTATATAAGGCATGTAAATACTATACTACCTACTAATACTACCTCAATAATAATACTACTTCATTACATTTATTACTTAATAATGCAGTAGAAAATTACCTATATATAGACTTCATTCTTTAGCTAAAAATATATCTAATGCTTCCCTAATGTGAAAAAAATTCAATTACATAGGGTGTGTCCAAGTGGATCATATTTCAGGAAGATTTTACAAAAGAGGTTTTATTTTGGAAACGTATTTATAAATTCAGGAAAAAAATTAGCAATGCTAAATATTTTGTAGGGAACCAATATTAATTTATTAAAATTAATAATTGTCATTATTATAAACATTATTATAACTTTGTGTTAAAAAATGTCAACCGCTTATTAATTACGGAGATTACAAGAACTTAAGACATAAGCTTTAAGTTCTTTTTTTTTTCAAAGTTTTGAATTTTTAACTCAGCTTTGTATAACACTTAAATCTAATTAAAATTCAGATACAAGATATCTTTGTTTTGATAAGCAAAATCCTATGGAAATCGTCAAATTTATATAAATACATTTGTAAAGCAGACGCCGCTGAAAAAAACGAATTCCCAACTGCAAAGGTTGCTTTTTGTAAATATGCAAACATGTAGGTACCTATTTAATTACAAAAGCTAAAAATATACCCAATTAAGGACGTAATGAACTAAAACCAGTATTATAATAAATTCAAGACATTCGATTAAGTTTCTCTAAGTTTATAAATACTTCGTGAATATTCATAGGCTTATCATTTCATTAAGGATATCTGGAAAATTGTTTTAATAAAAATATATTAAGACATAAACGAAGCTGACTACTAGAACTTGATACATTAAGACATTATGTATAGGCTATAGAAGACGGTATATAAACTTGAAAGGAGGATTTAATGATAAAACCACTATACAATATTAACTACAGTAAAAATTCGCAATCGGTTTTATAAAATTATAATAGAGATTCTTATAAGATTATTTATGAACTGGACGGAAAATGGAAGATGACTGTAACTGATTAAATATACATGTACATACATAACGTAAATACACGCATTGTATGTACACCAACATTGTGAATATAAGATCAAATAAGTTTACACTTGAGAAACGCTCGAAGGCGGCTCAGCCAAATACATAGCACCGGATTCTCTGTACATATTTAGTCAGCGTATAATTGATTGGCCGGTGGTCTTGATTATTAGTATGCCATACAGTCATAAACGTATTTAGACGCTCGTGAGGATAGGAATATAAAATACCTCTTCATTTTCTCTAACTATAATATAACAATAATTGTTACCAAGTGACGGAACGAACAAGTCATGCGTCTGGTGGTAAGCGACACGCCTGTCCATAACAGTGCAGTGGAGCTTTAAATCGCAAAGATTTCTGAGGCAATACCACCGCGCCCGTCTTCCTGAGACATCATTTGACAAGTCCCATGTACCTGCAATTACATCGGCACTTTTACCCTTTAAAACCGGAACATAGTAGGTGATACTCACATTTCTGTTACATTTGCATTACATTACCCTGTCAAATTGAAAGATCTTGTCGTAGGAATATACTTTTCTCAATTAAGAAGTCGCGGAAATGTTTCGTTAGCAATAGCTTTATTAGGCGATCATTTCAGACATACAACAGCAGGTTCATGGATGTGGATATTTTATGTGATTCGTTATCAAAATTTAAAACTAAAATTAAAGCCTAACTATAATTGTTCTATATTGATAGTCTTTAAGATTCCAACTGCATTACGAATTAAGCAAACTCTAGGTCTACTTTATATATGTTCGTTAATGTAACAATAGTTTTATACCGACTGTTTGTTACTTGAATAAATCAATATATAAAAATAAATAAATTACTGCTTGGCCGCAGAAATAGGTAAGGTTAGGTGGCAGGTTCCATGGACTCTTCCACAAGTACCTACCTCTACTACTAAAATTTATTTAAATGATTCGTTATGAAGTGATAACTTAGAATAAAAATATAGAGATACATATATACGTGGGAAATATATTTTCCTAGCCGTTCCAGATAGATATGGCCGGTGGTCCTGATCGTTTCGTATTCAATCCACTCACACAGGCCCGATGTTATCGCCAAGGACGCATTATTGTGATTCGAACCTCGACCCGGAATAGATCGACCGATATACAGCTCTAGTGAATTAAAATGTCCATAGGGTTTGCGTGAGATTGCGCTATGACTAACATACATTAGGAACGGAAAGTTACTGCCTTAGAAGTAATGAGCTTGTTCATTTAGAGAGCTATTTATACCTGGTATCTACCCTGTTTATAGGGGAATTATTATTTTCACATTCTTTTAGACTTTGGTAAACAGTATTTGCGAATTAGGACACAGTCGTTAGGCAAGCTGTTTATACCCATAAGAGAATTTTATAAAGTACCTATTGACCAGTGCTTATTTAAATAGAATAAACTGTAGATATTTAACACAGTGAAAGTAAAAAAAAGGATACATTAGATTCCTAACCTAAAACATAACTTAGAGGTAAACGTCCGCAACATCCAAATGTTATTATTGCGCATTATTCGCGATTGTTGGACAAAATCCAAGATCGCAAAGCCAATCAGCAGAGCCATGAACACCGTGATCGATGGAGATTGAAGCAACGTGCTATGCGCATGTGTGCCATATTTATTTATTCTTAGCACGACAAAATTTGTGCGAAGCGTTACGTGCACAAAACACGAATACGAATTCCCCTATATTCACAATCCTCACGAACTTACCTACTAAAGGGGCAGTCTATAACTTACGTTGATGAGTATCAAAGCACGTTATGATGTGTATTTTTTGCCACCTAATTTTGAAAGCAAGTTTCACAAATTGTCGTTTGTGAAATATTTTAAAATATGTGCATCAAAAATGAACTTCAATTTCGGGATGATTTCTTTTCGAAGATAAGTTATTTCTAAAACTTGATTTATTTACCTCCATTTTCATTCAATGCATATTTCGTTACCATTAAGTGATAGAAAATTTCTAGTGATAGAGTTCATTCAAGTACTGTCACCTAACCTGTTTCTGCCGCCAAGCAACGATTTCAGCATTAGATAATGTGTTTCGTTTTTGAAGATGAAATTACAGGCACACAGGACTTGTTGTATTTATTTACGTGCCCAATGCCGGCACCGCTCAGATCTTTGCAAATTGAGTGTGCACTCAAAACACACGACTTTTTCGTTCTGTCACTTGATGGCAAAAATATCAGTAAGAAGATGATTTCATATTAGTTTAGGTAATAACCCCCTGTCCTTAATACTACAAAGGCATACATTTGTACAACAACAAAAATATCGAGATGTTGATTTTGACAACATATAACTAGATTTTATTTTCCTGTCCTTACAGTAACAAAAGGGGCAGACGTGTAGAACTTGAATAAAGTTAAATTTTACGTTTGCCATAATTGACGCGTATCTCACAAATTTCTAAAACCATGTTATACGCATTTTGTGATGTATTTTATGTACGTCCCTTACATATTTTAGAATATTCCGCCATATTTTCTGCGATCGGATTAAAACGTCATTGTGAACATCACAATCGCAACGGACAAAGTTGCAACTTTATTTTACGACATATAATGGCATTGTAAATTTTGGACGCCGAATTAATATGACAAAGGCGGCAGCTCAAACACTTTTCAATACAGGTGTGTTTTGGACGGAAAAATTAAGCAGCTATATTTTCGTTCAGAATAACATTGATTCTGATAAATATGACTTCATTTTTGTATCAAATTATGACTTTATTGTGCTATTTCGTTTATAGTTTGCAAAACATTGTACACCACTATAGTTTCTTCCATTTCTGTTTTTATTATTAGACGTTAATGTACGTACTTACTTCGGGGTGCTTACTTCGGGGCGCTGCCCCAGCTAGCCGATAGCTACGAGACAGACAATTACAACAGTAAAAATAGCTACGTGTCGCGTCGTAGTACATTTGAAGCTGAACGTAGAGTACATACTCATCTATAAACTAGTTTTTTCTGATTTGTGTACTTACATGTGCTCATAATGAGTACTTTTATTGAATTATGTAATGTCACATTTGTTAATGTAATATAAAAATTCAACGTTTCGATTAGAGGAATACCAAAACACTAAATAAAAATATAAAAGGGTGGAAATTATTTTACTGACCATATGAATGCACATATTATGCAAATTGACGGTTTCTCTATTTACCTGTTTACTTCTTATGAACTCATTTTGCAGGCTCTGTATACTTTGCACATTGCATTGTGGAGATATAGGTATCAATACCTAAACGTTTCAAACTATGTTATTTTATAAGGCGTATTTCTTATATTTATATATTTTACTTCTTAAATAATGCATCTTTATTTTTATGAGCCCTAAGCTAATAGAAACATTGTTAATCCTGTATATAATACTTGTAATAAGTCTTTATGTTAAAGAATAAAACACAGTAATAGGTAGGACTACAGCGTTGGTATGTTTCCAGTATAAGTCGACTCACGTTTGTAACCTTAACAAAACTAGGTTTGACAAGACCTGTTTATACTAGTGACGTACATTACGTCATGTGGTCGATAAGTGCATATTTACGTATTTAGAAATCCCCTAAAACGAAAAGTTATACCCAAGCACCAAGCCAAGCGATAATACATCTAAAAGGGAAAGAATAAAGTATAAATTCAAACCTTAGTATCATGTTCTGTGTGGCGTCGCCGCCTCACCTGTTAGTAAGGTCGACCGCGAGTTCGCCGCGCCCGAACCTTACCCGGTTACACCTGGAACAACACATTAATATTAACAAAAAATTATGTGTCTGGCGATCACACCAATTGTATAATTTCAAAAATGGTATTTGATTCATAGTTTTTACGTTACATGAAACAAATGATAGTGTTGAAAACGAATTTGAAGTTCATTTATCGATATTTCAAATAATACCAGAGAAGAGAGAGTAGTTAAAGTTAATGGCAAAATTGAATTTGGTATGCAGTTTGTATGACGCCGCTATAGCGAGGTGTTACAAATAAATCAATTTCTAAATACCTAAGAAATTAAATCGGGTCCTTTACAGTTCTCATGGTCGAGGTTGGCTGAGATTTAGATCCGAAAACATAGTTTCATTTTCTATAAGTATGTAACAACCGGCTAAAACCTAAGTATTCTAAATACCGATTAATATTTGAATTTTTTGACGAATTTCTATATTGTTTGGAGGATTAAATTAATGGGCAAATTATGCCCATTAATTTAATCGTCCTTTTTTGATAATAAAATAAGAATAGTCTTTGAACAACAACAATATGCATTAACAATAGCAAAAGTCGAATCGATTATCGTAGGAAAATAATCAAATTACATAGTTTGCAAAATGTTATAGATTATATGTCAAATACATAAAAATATAAAAATCTTTTTAGCACCGTTAGAGCGATTAAGTATTTGTAGATTTCATACCAATTTAGTCCTCAGTCAATAAAAAGGTATGAACCTCATTACCTCTGCAATAAGTAGCTTGTGTATTTTGTAAGCTATGAAGGATAATGGCTACATAGTAACTACCGATGATTAGTTTGACGATCTCGATAGCCCGGTTATTAGTACCGTAGGTATTGTACTCTATTTCCGGTATTACCAAGTTAGTAGTCGAACTTTTCTTTGCTTTTGAACTCATAATAAAATTAATTTCTAGGTAAAAGCATATAGTAATGTAAAAGTCCTAGAAAAATGCAATAATAACGCTCCCCATCTTAATCGTTTGTAATGAAGTAACCAATGTTTAAGAAATGCACATGCGCAGTTTACATTTTCAAAAATCAAAAGGGAACCCGACTCTATCAGTAAAACACTTATTTATAGCATGTCCTTACATGGCAATCAATTTGTACTGAATTTTCTACACATTGCATTTACTCGTGTGCCTGTAAAATTAATTTGCCTCTCTACATACCTTGATTTGAATGTATGCCGAAAATAAGTAGTAAAAAGGCAATGCAAATTCATTGACATCCATACAAAACATTGTAATTTACGTCATAAATCGCTACAGTAAATTAAGTAAACACATTTATAGAATTTTACTATGCTGTAAAACGCGGAATAAAGATTCCTTGTGCACGCACCTACTTGTTAAAGGAATTTATTTACTGGAACAACGGTCAATCACAATGAATAATAATCTCTTTGTCCAATACAATGTTAAGATACAAAAAAGGTTCCATTTTTTAAATTTTTCTTAATTTTTTTTAATGGGTGAAATAGTAAACTACAGCGTATTTCAGTTGAAGAAAGTTAAAATTTTCTTGTATATTATTTTTACGACTGTTTGATGTCTATGGCTTTCTATGCTGTTCTAAAATATAGTACAAACTTCTTCCTCATAATTGCCTCACTGCACCAAAAATTTTTTACTGTTGACTGATTTAATTTCAAGTTTTTGTTTTGTTTTTTTATACCGGTCAAAGTAAGTCGAGAAATCTCAAATAGTTAAAGTTCGGTGGCACACCGTTTAAGTTATTGGCGCTATAAATTTTTTTAAACGTTGAACTGCTGACAGTTCCTTTGATAATGACATCGGCACCTCCGATTTTGGATAATAAAGCAACTTAATTTTATTCTGATAGGTTGTGCAATGTGCTATAAAACTGGATTCTCTACATTAAAATTCCTAGCGTCCTACGCACGGAATATCATTTTCAACAATTCAGATTCTATAAATGTTCTTGAAGGAACACCGTGTTTGTCGAAACTAACACTTTGAACATAAATTCCGAGAATTCACTGTGTCTTCAGGATGGTTCTGATTAAAATGCTTAGTAAAATGATCTTAATTTATTGAAAGTGCCATCGTTTACGCCAGTCTGTTTTGTTATAAAAATTAACAAAGAAACAATGGTTAATGTTTACATCACAAGGTGCACGACTTGTCCGTCCCATCTCCTGATATTATAAAAATAGAAAAATTTAAAAACTTTGTTTTATATTATAAAGTGCGCAAAAACTTTTCGCTCGGAAATATTCTAATTAATTTTTTATCGGGTGTAACCGAAATACCTAACAGGTAGTCGATTGTAAATATTTTTCTACCACTCCTATTAAGTTCCATTAGCGGGGAAAAATAAATGAAATGCACTCTCTCTCGCCCGAGTGAGCTCTAGAAAATCTCTGCAATAAATGCCCACAAACGCTAAATTTATTTTTATCGTTTGTTCCACTTAAGGAATAAGATTGAAAACTGTTCCCGATATTTTCCGGTAATTTGTCGAGATATTTTTTTAGGGCCATAAAATATTTACGGGGTTTCGATGAATTCAGGAGTGGATTTGTGTACACGTTCCACCACTCCGCGAGATTAATTCATTTTCATAAGTCTGACGATGCTGACGCTAATATAATTATACAATTCAAAACATCACTAAGCAGTGATTTTGTGACTAACATTATTATATTATGTTTTTTTACAAACTTTGCACCTAGATGTAGATACTTGCATTATTTTCACTACAAAATTTCAAATTTTTTCAAAATACCTTTATATCAAATTTAAGTTAGGTACCCTATGGCAGATTTTTCAATAAATTATCATCGTTAACCCATGTACACATCACCCACTGCTGGGCATGGGTCTCCTCTCAGGCGAGGGTTTAGGGCATAGACCGCCACCCTGGCCCAATGTGGGTTGGGGACTTCACATGTTTTCCGAGGGTTGTGAATCTTCGGCGTGCATGTTTCATCACAATGAAATCCTGCACCGAAAAGATCATGGTAAATTTCAAATTAAATTTCGCACATAAATTCCGAGAAACTCTGAGGTGCGAGCCCTGATTCAAACTCACGGCCTCTGCTTGAAAGGCAGGAAACATTATAGGTAACCACAGCTATTTTCAACATATTATTAACATATATTTTGAGTTCTCTTCTAAATAATAGGGGTTAAAGTATGAAATTGCCGATTTGTACTGAAAATCTAAATTGTTTATTTTTTAAATTTTTAACAAATTTATTTAATCAAAATAGTTGCCATTATTATCTATACATTGCTGCCATCTAATGGGAAGGTTATTAATGCCTTTGCGATAGAACTCCGACGATCTAGACTGCACAAACTGTGTGAAAGCATTTTGTACTGCCTCCTGGGAAGAAAACTTCTTGTCACGTAGATAATTGTCCAAATCACGAAAAAAATGGTAGTCCGTTGGAGCAAGGTCTGGTGAATACGGAGGATGACGAATGGTTTCTAACTGCAGTTCCTGAAGGGTCAAAATGGTTTCTCGTGCTGTGTGAGGTCTCGCGTTGTCGTGGAGCAATAATGGTGAAGATCGATTCATGAGTCGGGGCTGTTTTACTGCTAGTTTTGTCAACATGGTTCGGAGTTCGGCACAATAGACATGTGCCGTTATTGCTTGACCAGATCGGAGAAAACTATAGTGAATAACACCATGCTGAGACCACCAAACAGTTACCATTACCTTTTTATTGGTAAGTTTTGGTTTAGGACACTGTTGTGGCATTTGACCTGGGGTCAGCCATTGCATTTTTCTTTTCCGGTTATCATAAAGAATCCACTTTTCATCACATGTTACAATTCGATCCAATATTCCTTCATTTCTGTACCGGTTCAACAAGGCAACACAAGTTTCAACACGCGTTTCTTTCTGCAGATCAGTCAAATCATGAGGCACCCATTTTTCGTATTTTTTTATTTTATTGATTTGACGCAAGTGAGTCAATATTGTGGGTAAGGTAACGTTAAACCATGCCACTAATTCCTGGGTAGTTTGACTAGGATCGGCTTCCACTATCTCTCTTAATTCATCGTTATTCACCTGTGTGGGCGGTCTTCCTCGTGGCTCGTTCTTTAAGTCGAAATTTCCATCACGAAAGCGTTTAAACCAAAATCGCACGGTGCGTTCATTAGTAGACCCCTCTCCAAACGCAGCATTGATATTGCGGGCTGTTTCTGCCGCGTTAGTTCCGCGTCGGAACTCGTATTCAAAAATCACTCGAATTTTCGCAGTATCCATCTTTCTTGTCTAAATTGAATAACAAAAACAATTGAAAGTCGATATTCAAATGTTTCAAATTAAAAAAAAAAAATCACAGAAACCATTTGAAAAAAGTTTCATTCGAAAACCTCAAACCATGAAGTTTCTATGAAAATTCAAAGAACCTATTGCAATAAAACAGCAATTTCATACTTTAACCCCTATAATATATTTTGTAAGTATATTATAATCAACAGAGGCTTTGTTGAATGTGGTATGACAACTAGCTTTATTAGACGACCAAATATAGTGGTCCAAGACTGTAAACGCCCCTACAATCAGTACTAATAAGCTCACGTAATTATACATATTGGATCGAATATTTCCGGCAGGTGTACATTGATATGCTCAAGACATTACTTCGTTATATCCACGACAACTTACACCTCACTAAAGGTATGCTTATAGGTATGTTGACATACATCTGTAATGTACGTTATTTTGTATAAGGTGTTTTTTTTTATAAAAAGAATAAGGAGCGCATTGCACTCAGTGTTTTTAATTGTCGTTGTAAGAATTCGACTCCGTGTCAACTAACATAAGTCGGTACGACCTGTAAATTACTCTCTATAATTCATTATTCATTTAGTTACTTGGAGGGATAAGTAAGATTATTTTAATTCAAATAACTGAATTTTTTTCTAAAATTTTAATTTTTTATAACGTCAAGTGATGAGATGAACAACTCGTGCATCTAATGGTAAGCGACACGCCTGCCCATAACAATTACAGTG